ATATTTTATGTCGAAATAAACAGAGCCTTAAAACCAAATTGTTGGAGTAAATTGTTTGACACAATCTTTTTTATTCATATGTTTCCATTACGCATTTGCTTCCTTGTATTTTGCATTTAACGACCAAACAAAAACACTGGATCAAACAATTCACTTCAACAAAACACTCGATCAAAGTCAAACAATTCAACTTTAAATTATTATTTTTTTGGGGGTAAAAATAGCATTCCTTGTATTACTGTAATAATTAATCACCACTGGGTCAAAATAAATAAATTATGGAAGAGAAGGATATATACAATAGTGTGTCACATAAACTAAGGCAAAATCCAAAGCTGTTCACAATTTTAGATAGACAAACAATTCTATGAAAACTAAATTTAAAAAATAAATAAATAAAAATCCTACTTAATTTCAGGGAACAACTTTCGGAGTTCAGAATTTGTTTTTCTTTTTAATTTTTTTTTTTAGTATTCTATGATTATCTTTGCTTCTAATGTTGGGTATATACCTTTTCCGACCACCAGTTCTTTGGACTTATAATTGCAGGTAAGTCTCAAATATGTGTAATCACTCGTAAATTACACATATTATTTAAACTCGAAAATTGTGTCCTGTGTGAGTCGAATTCGGAGATGTCTGAGTTTACGACTCAGACGTCTTGAATTCAAAATTTACGGAGAATATGGAGCACTTATGATGAGCTTCCCTCATACACGCATAAATGGATGATTTAAGTGAAAAATAGCATGCTAATCAAGTTGATTTTGAAATATACCGGGAATATGGATTGCACACTTTAGGAAAAAAAAAAATTAGGAAACTTTTTTTTAAATAAATAAAAGGTTGTGGTAAATTTAATTTTTAAATTTTTTAAGAAAAAAAATTGTTAACCCAAAATTCCAAGCACACCAAAAAATTTGAGTTCCTTTCCATTTCTTTCTTGATCAATGAGAAGTTGACAATCTGCTATTTTAATTGATTTTGTATTACAAAACTTAGTTTGAAAAGGATGCATTGTCTGCAAACAATTTATATATTGGTGCAAAATTTTTATTCCTACCTAATACATTCCTCAAAAGAAAATTATCCATTGGTACATAAAAATTAATATTGTAATGGTAAATTCATATATATATATAATTGACTTGGTGTCCAACTAAAAAAGGGGTTGTTAGAACAATATAAAAGATCTCTTAGAATGTCAATAGATAAGATACAAGGGAAGCTAAGAATGCATTGGAACAAGTCATATATCTATATATATATATATATATATAATTAGATTTGTAGTTCTTTGCATAAATCTTGAATTACGACTCTCTCTCTCTCTCTCTCTCTCTCATTTCAACAAGTTCAAACCATAAGCGGTGACCTTGATTTCTCTACAACTGATAAAGAAAACTTTTTTCTTTTCTTTTCTTTTTTTTTTGGGGGGGGGTGCCCGGGTGGGGGTTCATTTTTTTATCTTTTTTTTCTTCTTCATCTTTTACTTTTAGTAATTTGTATGGGCTTTCATAAAAATACAGAACGGCTCGGACTTCAGGCCCTAAAACAGTGCTAGGCCGAAGTTTCTAAGCCCATTATTATCCAGACAATAGAAAATTAAGCAATGTCCAGCTCATTGATTCACACACACACACACACACAGAGTATGTTTACTCCAAGATTTAGTACCAAATATACTAACAAATGTTGCATTAGGAGTATCCACTAAATTTCCTAAAACTTCAAATCTAAGACATTAATTTAGTGCTCATAAACATATTTCGTTTAATCTTATTGTTTTAGAGCTACACCAAATTCAAAATTTCCAACTCTTTCAATAATTAGATGCGCGTTTTTAGTTACCGGAATAAAATAAATGAATACATGTGATTACTTTTGTTGGATCAACCATCCGTCTGGCCATTAGTCCTATAATTATCTTTTTGAAGAGTAGCTTGAGCTTGGCTTATTTTGATCAGAAACAATCTCGAGCTAGCTTCTACTCAAAGAAATCAATCTCGTTTTGAATCGTGTAATTACGTAGTCTTAAAATGTTTTTATTAGCTTATTTTGAGCCAATAAAAAAACTAATCTCGTAGCCATTTTGTTACATAACAAGAGAGATTTTTCTTTGCCATTACCAAATGCCGAGACAAACTTGTTAAGAAGATTCCACATTTTATGTGGATTGGAAGGAAGGCACAATCTACTTCTAACTTAAGATATATTTGGCTACTTTTTAAAGGAATTTTACTCATTTACCCCTAATATTGTATTGTTAAAAAGTGTTAAAACTTTTGTCAGTTTTTTCTGGAACTGTTAAATATAAGAAGGTGGACACTTAATTTTGGGACAGAGGGGATATGTGCCTGTATTTTTGTACTACCATGTATATACCCAAATTGCTTATTCTCCCTCCTCTCTGGGTAGGACTAATTCCCTTTGAGTATCACATACCCAACCTTTGGGGAGTCAAATAGGGACATCCACATTCTAGACGTATTCTTTTAAATTTTCTGAAAACTGTTTCTTTATTTTATGGAATCAAAATATAAAAATAGATTCAAAATTATGAAAACTAAGGTAAATATATATATATATATATATATATACATTTAGTTAAAAACTTTCATGTGTTTGGAATTTGATTTTCTTTTTAATTTTTTAGAATTCTTAAAAACTGGTTTCAATGACCGAACATAACTTTCTTTCTTTCCCCTTTCTTTTTTCCCGTGCTTCCTAAGCAACGCTAGGTGTGTTCTATAAAGTATTTCCTTAGTTTGCACTAAAGCTTCAATAATTGTGCTAAATTAGCACACTGGGATGGAATATTATATCCTGGTGACTACTTCTCAAGAAAAGAATCAATATTGTAAAGTTAATTCATTTTAGGCATTAGAATCTTGAGTTTGTAGAAGAACCTCAATACAATGATGAAATCCCAAAATTATTGAACATAGAAAATTTATAACTTGGTATAATTGGGTAACATATCAAAAGAAAAGAAAAGAAATTTCGAAAGTTCAAACAAACTCATTATGCACACGTACCTATAATTACCATAACAAGATTCGAACACTCAACTTCTCATCAGGAAGGAGAGATCATACCAACTAAAACTAGACATGGCACACAAGAACTCAATGGCAAGGCCTTAAATTCAGAGACTAATTCAAAATTAGGACTGGTTGAACATGGCAAAGGAGTCTGAGGACCTCCAGAGGTCCTATCACTTCTTTTCTTCAGTTCTTGAAATTAAGTTCCATTCAAAAGAATGAAAGATCACTCAAAGCATTAATGAAAGAATGTGGTGACCATCTTTCATGGCTCAAGAGCTCCTACCATTACTGTTAGACAATACGTCGACCGCATCTTCAAGTACTCAACTTGTAGCCCTCTATGCTTTGTTGTTGCTTACATATAGCACTGGCGAATCCAAGGGTGGGCCCAACAAAAAAATAAATAAATAAAATTTTACTATACCTAAGTTTAGTCCAGCCCCACAAATAAAATAAAATAAAATATTTATTACTACTATTAGCTCACCCCATGGACAATTCCTAGATTCGCACCAGAAGTGAGACAAGCATTCGATTTTTCAGAATTGTTTTATTTTTGTGCATATCCTTTTGCGTGTAGTGCACCGACTAACTTAACATGAGAATTTTGAGAGTTATTTAAGATATTTATTTGAATTTAGAACTCTAAAAAATGTATTTCCGTTCATTTTCGCATTTATCTTATTTTTGGGTCTGAAAGTCCTGTGCAAGCCCCACACCTGGATTTGCGATCTTGAGATTATTTTTTGGACTCATGTACCAGTCATATAATTGTTTGATATTTATATGAGGGTATATGTGGGGTTTTACATGTTAATGGCATTATAGAGGTTTAGTGTCCATGTAGGGGCAAAATGGGGTTTTGTGGGTCAATGGTTGTCCCCGCTTTAACCACGCTTATGGGGGACCAAAACCACCGCATATTTTCTGCAGAAGCCACTTCCCACCCGGCCAACTTTTTCTTCTTCTTCTTCTTCTTCTTCCTCCATCATTATTCACCATGGATGCCACATTTAAGCTCACATTGGACCACTTTCTTGTGGGATTTTGAGATTGTGCTAGAAGGGAAAAACCTTCCATTTGTTGAAAGCTTTCCATTGATACAAGAATCAAGCCCATTGGGCCACTTTGAAATTTCGACCCCTCCTAGTTGTTGGATTTTGATGAAGCTCCAAGAGGAAAGTTTGCTCTACTTGCCTCCCTCTCTTCAGAGGTGTGAATAGTTTTCATTTGGTGGACTTTCATGCTAGGTGCACAATTCTTGGAGGGGGAAAAACTAATTTCAACTATTTAATTCAACAATTCTGCTTCATAAAAGCTTCAGCAGCCTCACTAATTTCAGCATACTTCAAGACGACTGCTTTCCTTCTCTCCGGTTTCACTGTCTCAAGGACTATCACTAGATAAATATGTTTCATCTCTTACTTAGCCTCTGTAACTCATTCTGCAATTACTGGCACATTTCTTACTTATCCTCTGTAACTCATACCCAGCGACCGTATTACTCCAAATTTTGTCCACTAAGGCCTGGAAAATTCCCCCTATCAAGCAGAATTTAAAGCTTTGAATGATTCGATACTCCATTAGTGTGAAAAATAAGTAGACTCATATTTATAGTAGTGAGACATAGCTCCTCATTCCTTTTTATTATTTCAGAATTTAAATCAGTCTATTTCTTACTTCCATTATACTTTGTTTGAATTTAACCTCATCGATCATCATTTCTATCAATCCCTATCCCATCCATCTTTCTCTAACCTCCATAACAATACTGAATCCCACAGTAAATTACAAGCTAGCCTCCAAAGAACGATAGTGAAATATAGCTTCATAAAATATAAAATATCTTTAAAGAAGGAATTTGAGGCAACTATATTCAACAATTGTGCTCTACAGTCCAAAAATTGTTGCATATATATGGTTTGCTCATATGTGCCAATACTTGGAGGACCATAGCATATATATAAGCAATGCAAAAACTATAATATACTAGTTATGTGTGTAAATAATTCTGTGTAATCAGTAATGTGTTTTATGATTCCTTCTTGAGAACACTATTGACGATTTCAGGAAACATTGTTTACCGTGTTACAAACTTCATAAGCAATGGAACACTGCAGCTAGCTATTACTTAAATTTATACAAATTGCTTGAATTTCCAGAAAAACTAAAATAAAAATAAAATAAAATAAAATAAAATCATAACTAGCAATGCTGTCTAGGATCTTGCACCTTGATCTTCCAATGCCCATCAGACAATCTAGCATTCTTAGCTCTCTCCCTCCACTTCTGTATTCTTGCATTCATACGTTTCGTTAGAGCACAGTATTGTCTCAGCTTCCTCGGCATGGCTTCATAAACTTGCCACCACCTCCTGTGAGCAGAGTCACTAGCAAAATGCTGGTGATCAAACATATCCCAATTACAATCATAGTCCTTATAGCACATCCATGGCTTCAAACCTAAGTAATGTATCGCGTACACATCATTTGGGACTTCGTGTTCAGTGTTTTGCACTCTACTTAGGAAGATCTTGAGACGATTTAACCGTGAAGGCAACCGGTGCCACCATGTAAACATTTCATTAAGAAAACCCTGATCCCCACCATTGTACGAATCCACTGCAAACCGATTTTTCATCAAGGTTTGGAATGTACGCTCTGATGGCTCAACTACCATCACCCCGGAATTGAACAAGAACTTGTCATTTCCAACCGCGGATAATTGTGGGTAAATGAAGAATTCGTCCATGTTTCTAAGAACCAAGAGATCTGCGTCTACAAAGATGAGTTTATCGTACTCGATGAGTCTCCACATTTGGAGCTTGCTATAGTTCCATTCATTGTATGCATCTTTCTTTGCTTGTGGGCTTCGTATGCGTTGAATGCGCTTGATTTTCCATCCTGCAGCTTTGAGACCTTGCAGGGACTTTGCAGGAATGGAGTCATCAGCTAGAAGGACTAGGTCTTTTGTGGAGTTGGTTTGGATGATGCTTTGGGCTAAAGCTATTGCACCACAAACATAGGCTTCTGAGGAATGGAGGATAGTCACATAGGCCTCTTTTCTTTTGTAGAGAATGTTATTTGCAATTGAGCCAGCAACATTCTTTCTCCACACTTCTCGAGCTGCATTTTAACCACCACAAATTCAGTCTTGGAATTAATACCATGCCTTTGTTGCCCGCTCAATAAAAACGCACCTTATCAATTTCTAGTTCATATTTTAGACACATGGATTGAACAATTTCATAAGAAAAAAATATATAGTTTGACCTTCGAACAAATCCGACTATTTTATATGAGTGAAAACTGATGTCAGTGTGTTGCTCATGATGATTAACTCCCACTCAGAAAAACAATCAAATTTGTTCAACTGTTGAACTTCGTATCACAACTCTTTCATGAGTAAATTAACAAGGGCCTCGGTTGCTCAAGGCAATTTAGTCTATGTGCAATTAAAAAACAAAGTTGTCCTATGTTCAAAAATGCTAACAGAAGGTCAATATAGTGTGATTTCATTAAATGAATATATTAATGACATAGTATGTCCGACACACAATATTTTCTCAATATGTAAGGAAGTATAACATATGATAAATAAATTAATCTAAATTTCTCGATATGTAAATGATTTAATTATAAATTCAATGATTACAGAAAATCCATTGTATCAAGAATGATACGCATGAGAGCACTATCCTTAACGTGACAAAACCAAAAAAAAAAAAAAAATCGTATTTATTATTTTTATTTTATTAATAGAAAACTTGTCAACAAATTAACATGTATGTTTAAATGCATGTTTGGTTGGTGACAAAGAAATCCCACCAACTATATTTCTAAACAAATCCTATTTTTGCAAATTTCCTTCTAATTAAAATTCTTTTTTTATAACACTTAAACTATCAATATTTTGACAATTTTACCCTCAATTCAAATTTAAAATAAAATTATATGATCGATGATTAATTAGCCAACTCAACCATTAATCAGACCTGAGCAAATGTGATCAGCTTGAATTAAATAAGGCTGACTCATAAACAACTACACTTTCTTCATGCATGTTAATATAGTAGTATTGTGAATTAAATAACAAACCAAAACACATATAACATAGAAACAAAAAAAATGTAAATAACCTTTAGAACCAAAATTCAATTCTAATATTTTAGAGCATCTCCAGCATTCTGTTAAGATATTCTTTGTTGTAAAATATACACGGTCACTTATTATATGTAAATTTTTTTTATCTCCAACATTCTGTTAAGATACACTGCCACATCATCAATGTGTAAAATTGTTGTATATTTTACACAATCTTTTTACACAGCCACATCAGCATATTTCATTTCTTTTCCCTCTTTCTCATTCTACTAAAGAATCAACCTTATATTAAGTAGGTTTGTAAAAGTTATGTGGGTCCTGACATGACACGTGGTTGGTTATTATTGGAGATATATTTTTACACGAAAGGTACAAAATAACCGCAGGAGCTAAAAATACATAATTCTAAATTTTTGTATAAATTTATGATGACACATATATTTAAATAAAAATATATATACACAACAAAGATGCTCTTAGTAGAGGGATTTTTATAGAAATTTCCAAATAATCAGTTTCGATTAGGCCGGTAAGTTTGAAAATTATTATTCAATAAAGAATTATAAATAAATTAATTAATTAACCAAAATTAACTCACTTGGCCCTGCATAAGGAAGAGTAATCTGGCATGTCCCAACAGGCATGACCATCTTCTGTTTCAATCTTTTCAAATCAGGTTTATAAACCCAATAATCCCCTTCATGCCACAATAAATCATCACACCTGAAAATCTCCCACATGGGCCCACAAGACCCTATAAACACAACATACACCGTCCGATCAATCTCATGATCATGACTTTCCCATGATCCACTCCTAGTCACCAGATTAGCAACCACCAGATTTACCTGTAACCTAAACACATCCCTAACACCTTCTCTCTCCAAACCTCTCCCACATGGAACCCTAGCCACCACGACGTCCAGCTCCCCGTAGTCTCCCAACTGTGGCGGCATCGGAATATCGGGACACTTGGGAGCATGCCATTTCTCATCTTCATCAATCCATGCAGGGAAGAAGTCTTCCCACCGATGATTCTCTGCCACACGATCGAAAACTACTGTTGTTAATGAGTCTGCTAATCCATGCAGTGCTTCATTTTCTGTTGTGACTTCGTCATCCATGTTAACTAAGCCAATCTTGATTTTTTTGCTCTCGATTTCTTGTTTTACAACGTTGTACCATCTGGGTTTTTGTGCTTTCAAATGCGAAGTTGTGTCTTGGGGTTGGGTCTCATTTTGGAGTTGAAGATTTTTTTGGGACCGGAAAGTAAAGGTTAGGAATAGGAGGGTTAGAGAGAGAAAGATGAGAGAGAGAATATTGGAGGGTTTTGGCATGGAAGCAGATGGCTTCAGAGCCATTTTCAGCTTCACACGTCTTGTGATCATTTGATGAAGAATTTAAACCTATTTATATGTATTATGTGTGTGTGTGTGTATATATATATATATATATATATATATATTGATGTGTCATATGTGGGGGGCTTGCATGGACGCACGTTGAATTTTATTTTGTATACTCGTCATTCCTTTACGTTCGTAGGAAAAAAGGGTTATGTATTTGTTTTTAGCCGTTGGATTAAGATAAACTTTTCAAATCTGACGGTTGAGAGTATGAGCAGGACTTGAATTGATAAGAATTCACTGAGTCAAACTATGTCATAGATTTTGACTTGACAAATTCTAATAATTTTTTTTCAGATTTGCTTTTTTTTTTTTTTTTTTTGGCCTTTTAAGACTTGTAAATAAATTATAGCAAGTTTTCTATGTGTATAATCTGGAGAATACATCTGAACAACTTGATGTGGTTGTTTTTTTTTAAACCAACCAAAGGAACATACTCCTTAATTGGCAGTAAGTGGTTCCACAGCCGACTACAGCATACTATATAAACCAAGAAAATCCAAAAGATTTTCAGCATACAAGAGACTTAAGTTGTTTCAGCAGGGGGAGCCAGAATTTTAAATCCAAAAGATCTGAAACCACTAGCTAGTTAATTTCTAGATGAACTTGCAATTAAATTTTGCTCTATTAATCGCTGGTTCAATCAAGAATTGTTGTTGTGCATTATACATCAGTTACAACTAAAAGAAGTTTTAGAGTACAATAAGAAGTTATCAATCGGGCACACACTGGTGTTTTTTAAAAAAAATCCAATTTTTTTTTTTTAATATAAAAAGTATCTTCTGATTTGGTGAAACTTGAAAGTGAACCTTGTGATAATAAAAAATTAAATAAAAATAAAAAATTAAATCTTCTAATTTGTGTGAAAGTGAGTGAATATTGACATATTTTTATATTTATGATCACCTTACTTGATGTTACAATGGGGAGTTTGTCTTACGTCGAATCCCAATGAAAAATAAATGTGTATAAATGGGTGGGTATGCAGCATTACTTAATTGTTTAAGTTTTTGAATAAATGAGTAAACGTTCACTCGTTATAGTTGGTATCAGAGACCATCTTTGATCTGGTATCACGTCAAATGTCCTGTCCGGAGGACCTCCGAGTCTTCACCCCGAGTAGGCAGGGTGGCTCGAGTCGCAACGAGAACATTGCGAATTCAGGTAAGAAGAAAATGTTATAAGGAAAAATTTGTCTTACATCGAATTCAAATAAAAAAATAAATGAATTTACATAAGTGAATATAAATCATAATTTATGAGCTGAATAATTATATTGAGACGGAGGTATCACAAAACAAGCATTTTGCCTTAACTAATAATTAAGGAGTGCATGAAAGGATTGGAGTCCCACTTGTTTCTTATCTGTTGCAATATATATTAGGTGGGAATTATGAACTTGACTCCTCAATAAACTGCTGCAAAGAGACATGCTTGGCACATGTGAGATGATTCTTTCAAAAATAATAAATAAAGAATTTAATGTTTGTGATTTAGACGTTTCAAAAATAATAAGAAGTGACAATCATGGAGAGAGAACTTTCTAGCACAACTCACACAACTAATCACATGGTGCATCATCATACATATATATATATATATGTATATATTTTTTTTTTCCTTCGTTAAATTTTCCTTTTCTTTTTTTAGTTGGGAAAAAAAAATGAAGATGAGAACATATTTAATGAGATGGGTACATTATTGAAGAGTTTTATATGAGTAAAACTCTCTAATAATGCACCCATCTCATCTGCTCTTTTAATTGATTTTGTGCTACAAAATTTAGTTTGAAAATGATGCATTGTCTGCAAAACAGAGACTTATATATTGGTGCAAAATTTTTATTCCTACGAAGAAAAAAAAAAGAAGAAGATATTTTGACTTGGTGCCCAACTAAAAAAGGGGTATTTTAGAACAATATAAAAGATCTCTTAAAATGTCAATAGAGAAGCTAGAGAGATGAATGATTAAGCTAAGAAGCATTGAAAAGAGTCAATTTTTTTATTTTTAATTTGATTTATAGTGTGCTTTTTCTTTGCATAATTCTCTCTCTCTCTATCTCTCTCTCTCTCTCACGCACACACACACTGACACACACAAACCATAAGCAGTGACCTTGGTTTTTCTACAACTGATAAAGAAAAGTTCTTTCCTTTTTTTTTTTTTAGTAATTAATTTGTATATGCTCGTAAAAAACTGAGAAAGGCATGGACTTTAGGCCCTAAAGTCTGTGATGGGCCAAGGTTTCCAAGCCCATTATTATCCAGGCCATAGAAGATTAAGCAATGTTCAGCCCATTGACTTATATATCAATGATGTCTCACTACTATGTGCAAATTATATGTTTACTCCAAAATTTAATTTCAAATACACTAACATTGTGTTTGGGAGCACTTAATAGAGATTTAGATTTGGAAAGGAAACAAAATTAATTTAAGGGCCAGTTTGTTTGGATATAAATTATTTTTATTTTTTATTTTTTAGTGTTTAGTTATCGTAAAATATTTATGAAGAAAAAATATATTAAAATTCAACAAAAAAAATTTACCCATCCATTGTGACTAAGAAAAGGAAAGAAGGGCATATATTGATATTGATATTGATATTGGTATTATTCAATGTTTTTATTTTTTAGTCTTGTTGGTTATTCACACACACATGTCTTCATAGAGACGTGAACCCCTGACCTCCCTTTAGAAGTCTTATAACGCTAGCCGCTAGCTCGTTAGAGCATCTCCAACGCCTTTTTCAAATGGCTTCTTAAATTCAAAATATAGCAAGTGGATGAAAATGCACTACAATGGGCTCTCAAAAGACTTCTCATATTTTGATATTGTCAAAAGTATTGCCAAGCATAACAGCTTTCAAATGGCCTCTCAAACTCAAAATATAGTAAGTGAATAAAAATAAGACACTCGAATGGGCTCTCAAAAGACCTTTCATATTTTGAGATTGTCCAAAAGTTAGGCGATCTTGGAATATTGCATTAAGTGGGAAGATTTGATGAAATGCACCATTGGAACAGAATTGTTAAAATATAGCATTTTAAAACTTTAACTCCTATCAAAACATAATTTTGACATAAAAATATGGCATTTTGCGTTGGAGATGCTCGTGCCTATTGTTTGATTCTTTTGTGAACATAATTAAGAGCTGACCAAAGCTTTGAACCTGCCCCAAAATAAACCATGTTAAGAGCTGACCAAAGCTTTGAAAATGTGTTTCCAAAATCTGGAGTTTTGAATATAAGCAAAACAGGTCCAAATAGACTGATTCTATATCAATAATTCTCCTTGGGCCAAAACCACCTTTATGGAGGCAATTTTATCATTGAGCCGGTGGGTAAATTCACCACTTTAATTGTCAGCAAACCAAGCCTTACCTGAAGCTGAGTCTAAAAGAAAATCATCAATTTCTTAATAGCATTCATTTTATCTTTGTATCATTAATTACCTATGGATAAAATAAATAAAGGATAGAGCACAAAATACTAATAATAATAATAATAAATAATAAATAAATAATATCTGCAATATAAAAAATGTGAAAAAAATATCTCTTTAATTTAGTGTGAGGATATTAATTTCAAAATTTTCAAAATAGGTGCAAATTATCCATTGATAATCAATTTTGATCATTTTTTTATAAGAATTCTAAAATACTCTTAGTAATCAGTGTTTTTAATTTTTATTTTGTTTTAAGGATATTTTAAATATTTTACTATTTAAATTGACAAAATGTCCTTGTTTGCTAAATTGGAGAAAATGTAGAGTTTTTTTTTTAATAATAAAAGTGGATATTTGTACAGAGTTTTTTTTTTTTTTACTTTTTTATTTATACACGACAGTGTGTCACATAAACCAAGACAAAAAGCAAAAACTGTTCACAATTTGAGTGGATAAACAAACAAGTTTAAATCAAAATAATTCCTCTCACAAATCAAAAAATTCATTGGTAAATGAGAAACTCTAGCATTATTTTAAATTAGTCCAGAAAAAATCCCTAGCAATTAGGGGAGGGGATTCTAACACCGACACTAATTCGGGGAACTGAGCACTTTATCAACTAAGTCACTGAATAATAATCGAAGAGTGAAACACGAACAATCACTTTTTATAGTTTTTCATGGTATATTATTCTAAGAACATTTTTCTTATTTTATAACATTGACAAATATAAAAGAGTTTGAAATTTTGGTTTTAAAAAAAAAGGCCTATTTTATTTTAGGGAAAAACTTTTTTTAATTTGACTTTCTTTTTATTTTCTTAGTAGTCTTAAAAACTGTTTTCAATAACTGAACACAATTTTCTTTCTTTCCTCTTTCCTTCCCTTCGTCCTCCTCTCTGAGCTTCCTATGCACTGCTTGGTGTATTCTATAATTTCCTTAGTGCTTTATAGATCAGATTGAAAAAATAGCAATGTTGCACTAAATCTTAAATAATTGTGGTAAATTAGCCCACTGGGAATGGAATATTATATTCTGGTGACTTCTTCTCAAGAAAAGAATCAATCTTGCAAAGTTAATTCATTTCAGGCATTAGAATTTTTAACTCGTAGAAGAACCTCAATGCAATTATGTAATCCCAAAATTATTGAACATAGAAAATTTATAATTTGATATAATTGGGTAACATATCAAAACATAATAAAATCTCGAAAGTTTAAGCAAACGCATTACACATACACGCCCATAATTACCCTAACAGGACTCGGACACTCAACCTCCCCTTTGAAAATGAGAGATCATACCAGGTAGACTAATACTCATTGATAACAATAATAATAATAAATAATAATAATAATAATAATAAATTACCAAGAATAAAGCAAATAAAATAAAATAAAATGACATAATATTGATTCTTTGCTTCTAATGTTGGGTGCATACCCTTTCCTTGGTCCATAACTTGTCTTCCACTGCAAGTGAAATTGAGACCATCATTGCTCTCTTTACAATCGATCTCTAAAAATTGATGCATTTTGCAACATATATTTAATCACTATATTTATATTTTGCAGCTAAAACTAGACATGGGAACAACACAAGAACTCAATGGCAAGGCCTTAAATTCAAAATTGGGATTGCTTGAACATGGCAATGGAGTCTCAGGACCTCCAAAGGTCCTATCCCTTCTTTCTTCAGTTCTTGAAAGAACCATTCAGAAGAATGAAAGGTCACTCAAGGCATCAACAAAGAAAGATGTGGTCACCATCTTTCATGGCTCAAGAGCACCTGCCATGACCATTAGACAGTACGCCGACCGCATCTTCAAGTACTCAACCTGCAGCCCCTCATGCTTTGTTGTTGCATACATATATATGGATAGATTCCTTCAAACGACGAATGCTCATCTCACTTCTCTCAATCTTCATCGCCTTCTAATCACCGGTGTTATGTTAGCTGCTAAATTTCTTGATGATGAGTGAGTTTTCTACTTTTCTTGTCACTTCTTTTTCTTTTTCTTTTTTCTTTTTTTTTTTTTCCTTTTTTTTTGGGCCAAGTATCCATATCACTATGCATCAAATCATAGAAAATTACTATGGTAACCAGTAAGTTTGTTAATCTTGTGTTTAATCTTCAATGTTTCTAACAAAGGGCCGTCAATGTTTTGTATGGAAGTGTGCTCTTCACATGGTTCTGTGTAATGCTTCTTATACAAGTAGAGTATAAACTAATAAAGCTAGCTAGTGGCTCATTCTTGAAGTTGTTCAAAAAAAAATTTCTTCATATTTGTCTTTAGGATAAACATGTTCATATATATACTGTATATATAGTTGCACATATTATCTGTGTATCTTGAGGTTGTGATTTCTTTATTTCTAGTTTTTATCTTTCCTGACTGAGAGAAGATTATAGTCTAGTGCATAAATAATATGAAGCATTATAAAACATTCCACAATATGTTACAATTTAGCAAAATACAGAACAAAGAGCTGATTAAAAAAAAAATTACCCTATGCAAGTTGATAAATCTATTAGATTATTTATAGGATTTAGAAATAATTAAGATCATGTGTGTATTTGCAACATCAAATAATTTAGTACCTAAATAATATGCTTTTTATGAGAAAAATGTATATGAATATTGCCACTTTAATCTATAAAACAATAAAGTAATGATTTTCAAGTCTTTATTCTATCATTAAACCAAGAAATTCAAGGGCTTAGAAGCATGCCTGCTTCATCAAATCCTAAATGATTTCAAATTACTGAAGTTGAAAAAAAAACAAATTGTACTGTAAAAAGATATAACGAAACTTGTTATTTGCTATTGATCAATGGAATAGTAGATTATATTTCTAAATCAGCTTCATTTCAGTTTAAATAATTAAATGAGAACATCCTAAACTCAAGTCATCAGACTCTTGTAAAGGTCAAACAAATTTGCTTTCCACCTTCATCCAACATAAATTGCATCTAATGGAAAATCAAGTCATCATACTTGACATGCATGGCTCAACATTATTAACATTATTCTATGTTAAAAAAACCAACATAGAATATTTAAAAGATCCAAATTCACAAGATCTCTATCAGTAATACAAATATATGTTCATTATTTGGATAACTCCGACTATTTTTATGTGAGGTGATGCTGACGTCAGCCCCACTACTGATCATGACGTCAACTCCCACTCACATCAAACAGTCAGAAAAATCTGATTGTCAAACTACATATCATTTTTCAATCAACATAGGCATGTGCATTAGCAATAATTGAATTAATTAATCAATTAAATTCACATCCATATTTTCTTCTATAATATGTATATATTCAAGGGTTTTGATCTCACATTACATCTGCATTCTGGTTTTATGTCATCTTGATTGAATAGGAATTGTTACTCATTTATGATTTTAACACACTAAACCTACAGGGGTTACAACAATGCCCATTTTGCCAAAGTGGGAGGAATAAGCACTAAAGAGATAAACGAGTTAGAAATGAAGTTCCTGTTTAGTATAGATTTCAGACTACATGTAACTCTGGAGACTTTCAATAAGTACTGTTTGGAGCTAGAGGAAGAAGCTACTGCAAAGAGCCGGATTGGTGGATCAATTCCGGTTTCTGGATCGAGACATGGCCGGCAAAACAATGACAAATTCAAACGTGCACCAACCATTGAAGGGCAGAGTTGTACAACCGTTTGAATATATATGCTCAATGTGATCCAAACAGATCATAATAGGAATAAATAGTATATATAGTCATGTACAACAGATTATGACTTGGTTAATTTGATGAGAAGAAGGAGCAAACACCTACCCTTTTTCTGCCCATATCGAATTTCTGTAAGTAATTTGTAATTTACCTTGTCACTGTCATTCAAATCATTAAATAAGAGTACTAAATTTAAGTTGTAGAAAATTATATAAATACTCTATCTTTTCATTTTGAGATGTTCCAAAAAACATGTCATATTCCAAAATTAAATGTACTATTTTTTATAACATTCCAAACTATCCTTTTTGCACTAATCACGGAGTACTATTTTGTCTTTTAGTACAGACATATTTGAAATTTCACTCTTATCAATACAATAAAAAATTATTAAAACTCCATTACCATAAAAAGTTGGATTCCGAGACATGTATTATGGGACAGAGGGAGTAATCTCTGGAAAAAATATATATTGTGCCTCAATGAAATAAATAATATTTAACAAAAATAATTAGAAAAAAATAGAAAAATATGAGTAGCAGCAGCATTCTTGTTTTCTTGGGGGTCTACCAAGACTTCAGTTTTCATTTCTTTGCAACTGGGTTACCGGCAAGCAGGCACGAATCCTAATTTCATTTTTTTTTTTTTTTTTAATTAGCACCAGGAATTCACCTAGGCAGGGTCCCGAAGGGCCCCTTCGGGACCCACCCTAAGTTACAAACCTGAGGTGCAGAGCCTCGCTCCAAGGATACATCAGGTAAGTCGGAGAAATTGGAAGGTTTGATAAGAGTCGAACACTGGCCGATTGGATGCCAGCCCCGAGCCCCTACCATCACTGCCAAGCCCTCGGGGGCAATTTCATTCTTGTTCAAATCATCCATTAGGCGGTTTTTATATGATACACAATGTTGATCAACTGCAGAAAAGTGGTTGGATGAAGACGAAGCTACTGGTTGAAGACGGAACACATTGATGTTAAGATTATGATGGGAAGGATCGTTGCCATAGTCGTAGGCAGCCACCCGAAGAAAACAAAAGCGCTTATCACCCAAATAAATCTGAACTATTTTGCTCTTGTACATGCGTTGATTGTTCGATGTCTCCTTTTTTTTTCTTTTTTAATTCTCTTCTGTCTTTCTTCAGTAATTAGATTTGCATTGTATTTTCTATTGTCCAAATTTTTTTTGCTATTGTTTATGTGTGGATGCCATTCAAGTGTGACTAACTAATTTAAACATATGTATAAAGAGAGATGTAATCATGTTAGACATGGTTTTATAAATAAGATAAGATGGTTAGCATATGTAATCCGTAAATATTGAACTGTAACGATTCATGTATATATTTATCAATAAATTAGTACTTACATATTTAAAAAAAATAATAATCAAAATTCTAACTTCAAATATATGATAATATAAAGAACGCAAATTCAATGAGGAACCATTTTTAAAATATAATAATTAGGAACCATTGAAAATAATATTTTAATGAACTATTATAAATAATAAAACAACTAAGTGATTAAGATGTATCATGGTGATACTTTAGAGTTTACATTTTTTTTTTTTTAAATATTATTATTATTATTATATTTTGTGTTTATCTTGTGTTATCTTAAATGTGTTTGGTTTTTGGGATCAATCTTCTTCTTTCAATAAGTTAAACTGAATAATTCTCAGAAACACTTGTAAAAAAAATTCTCAAAGGCAAAGTTTTGAAGAAGATTCCACATTTGATATGGATTGGAAGGAATGCATAATTTAATTGTGACTAGGAAAGGAAAGAGGGGCATATATTGGTATTATTTAATGCTTTTTGTGAAGCTAATGTTGGAATCTGTAATGGTGGCCTCATTCTTTTCACACACAACTGCTCCATTTTAATTTGAGGCTTGTTATACAAGTAGAGTATTGACTGATAATGCAAGTGGCTCATTCTTGAAGTTGTTCAAATTTTCTTTTTTCATATTTGTCTTTAGGATATACATGTTCACATCTATTTGCCTTATAACACCATTTTTTTTGTATCTTGTGGTTGTGATTTCTTTATTTCTAGTTTTTATCTTTCTGAGACAAAAGATTACAGTCTAGTACATACATAATATGAAGAATTATAAAACATTCCACAATATGTTTCAATTTATTTAAAAACAAATAATTTAGTACCTAAATAATATGTTTTTTTTAAGAGAAAAATGTAATTGAATATTGCCACTTTAATCTATAAAACAATAAAGTCATGGTATTCAAGTCTTTATTATATCATTAAACCAAGAAATCCAAGGGCTTAGAAGCAATGAAGCATACCTGCTTCATCAAATACTTGATGATTTCAAATTACCGAAGTTGAAAAATAATTTTGTACTGTAAAAAGCTGTAACAACACTTGTTATTTGCTATTGATCAATGTAATGCTAAGATTATATTTCTTAATCAGCTTCATTTCAGTTTAAATAATTAAATGAGAGCATCCTAAATTTCCTTTAAAAGTCAAACAAATTTCCTTTCCGCCTTCATGGTACATAAATTGCATCCAATGGAAAATCAAGTCAACCATACTTGACATGCATGGCTCAGCATTATTGACATCATGCAAATGTTAAAGATACCAACATAGAATACTTAGAAGATCCAAATTCACAAAATCTCTAACAGTAATGCGGATGTTCATCAATTGGACAACTCCGACTAATTTTATGTGGGGGAGTTGCCCGATTGTTTTTATGTGACTGGTTGCTGACGTAAGCCCTCTCATATCAAACTGATATTGATGTCAACTCCCCTCTCGTATCAAACTGGTCATGACATCAACTCCACTCACATATAGTCGAACAACTCAGACTATTTTTATGTGTGGGAATTGCCCGATTGTTTTTATGTGAGTAATTGCTAACGTTAGCCCTCTTATATCAAACTGATCATGATGCTAACTCCCTCTCATATCAAACTAGTCATGACGTTAACTCCCACTCACATTAAACAGTCGAAATATTCGACTGTCGAACTATTTCAATCTATACAAGAAGGTGCATTAGCAATAATTGAATGAACACATCCATATTTTCTTCTATAATATGTATATATAATAGCGACAAGTGCAGAAAACAAGCCTAAAGTATACTCCGCATAACACTTTTGCCCCTATTTCAAAAAGTTTCAAAATACCCCTAATCTTTTCACATTGTGCAAAAATACTCCATTTGACATAAATTAATGTTTTGGTGAAAAAAATATGTAGAGAGAGAAAAGCAACACAGCTGTCCGAGCACGGAAGAGAGAGTGAAAGTGTGAGAATCGTGAGATTAAAAGCATCAAAGGCGCTAGTTAGTTGTTTTAGAGAGATAGTGTGTCAGTTGTTGGGGGGAGGGAGAGGGGGAGGGGAATGGACAATGTTTATTTATTGGGTTGTCTACGGAATTGGGCTTTGGAGAATTCTAATTTTATCACTTCGTTCAATTGGCTGCTGCTGTCTTGTATCTATTGGGTTGTTTTCAAATTTTTTGTTTTATTTTTAAATTAAATTAATAAAATAATAAATAAAGAATGAAATAATTAGATTTCACACCATACAACATATGGATAAAAAAAATAGTGTATCACATTATCATTTTTTAATTTATATGGCACTCTACTTTTTAAAAAATAGATAGATAAATTTGTATGTCCATGTCACTTGCTCTAACAGGTATGAAGAGAGAGAGAATGTGGTCCACGCTTGAAAGCCTGCTCTTTCCCTTCGGACCCCCCTCCAAAGATACCAAACGGGGAAATACTACAACCGTCCCCACAGAAACAGCACCATGGTTAGTTGAGTGTAATAAAGGAGGCGGCAAGAATCGATCACTGGCCTTGTGTGTGACAGCTCCAAAACTTACCAACCATTCCAAGCCCCAGAGAGCAAATTTTTGTGAAATAAGCAGATTTTAAGCTTTATGTTGATTTTGAATTTGCATTACATTTTGTTTCTTTAGATTTATTTTGGTTGCGCTTTTATCCTTGTTTGTACAGATTTTTTATTTATTATTTTTTCCAAAAGTAAAGTTTCGTATTTTAATACTACAACTTACTCTTTTTACCAAAAAAAAAATTAAAAATTCAAGAGGGTGTGTCTTGTTTTTTCACGGTCAAGAGAGAAATTTAATCAAGTTAAATTGCAGCTTTAAAAAAAGTTTCCGCTCAACTTTAATTGTTAGGCAGAGTGCGCTGAGCAGTTCTTTACTGCTGATATATATATATATATATATATATATATATATATGCCCAGTTGCCCACTTTAGTATATATAATATATATTTTTTTTCTAAAATATTTAACCATCTTTTCATTTTAAAATATTCAAAAAAAGTATGTCTCATTTTAAAATTAGATATTTTTTATTATAACATTCTCAACTTATTTTTTTAATAAATAAATGCAATAATTATATAATATTATTTTTACTCTTTGAAATATCCCTCTTATTAATATAATAAAAAATTATAAAAATTACACTATTCTAAAAAGTTAAATTCTCTGAACAAAATATTTATTTTTGTTTTGTATTAAAGTATTGTCCTTTGGGTAAATGGATGGTAAGTAAATGGCTCCAATCTGATCAAGATAATTGACTGTATGTGATGAAAGGCTGTTGCCTGGGGAATGCTCAAGGAAAGTGTGAGAGAATAAATTAGAATGGGATAGAGGACAAAAGAAAAAGTCGGGGGTGACGTGTGAGATGTGGTGTGGATCGAATGCATATGGGTTTTTATTAGGTGTGTGCAAGTGTATTAATGTATGAGTGAGAATTTAGGGTCGATTTCATCAAGTGAGAGTGAGAATTGGAGAGATAGATAATTAAGAAAGTGAGAGATCCTGGTGAGAGCTACAATATGAAGAGTGTGTTTTTAGTATATATTGAGGAAAAATTGTTCTCACATGTCACTTTAGGACGTGGTTATCCCAAATATTATTGTCACACTTACAATCATAAACTGGTCTTTCCTGCACTTCTAACTGTCAAATGGATTTATCATTGACAACATCATTGACCAAAAAGAATCCTCGAAAAAGGTTCCATAGCTGTGCAAACTACAACACAGATCCGTGTGTGGTTTTTACAAGTGGGGAGGATGAACAATTGTCACATTATTATAAAATATTTGTTTGGGAGATTTTGTGTGAAGTCAGGCAACTAAGAAAAATCAAACATGAATGCAGCACATCCACGACGACTCAGTTGGCTGGCTCGAGACATAGTATTGTTAGTTGTGTGCAATTTATGTTTTACGCTGTTAGTATTGTTTGCAGTAAAAGTGTTTGTATGATAGTGTAACGGGTGGGCAATTATTGGATAATGTTGCATACTCATTCATTTATACACACTTCAACCCCCATCCAAATCCCGATGTGGGACAAGTTTCACTTGTAACATTCTCCCCCACCCGAACCCACGCAACGCCCTTGTTGCTGTCGGACCACCCTGCCTACCCGGAGGCAGACCCGGACGCCTTCCGAGCCGGGAGCTTGGCGTGACACCGGATTAAGGACTGGGTCTGACTCTGATACCAACTGTAACGGGTGGGTACTTGCCCATTTACCTAAAAGCTCGAACTATTGGGTAATGTTGTATACCCACCCATTTATACATACTTCAACCCCCATCCAAATTCGATGTGGGACAAGTTTCACTTGTACCAGATAGCATGTTGAAATGGGAATTATTTCCAATTATGTTGCCAATATCACCATACTCTGTAATAAAAGATATAATGTATTAATATCTATATGTACCTTGTATCATGTCAAATACTATTAATGAATTTCCATAATCTTAATCATTTTTCTTTTCTTTTTTTGAAAAGTCAAATTCAATTAATTAAAATAAGGATCACAGATACAAACTAGTTTGTAGTTAGCCCAGTCAACAGAAATACAAGGCCAATGGCCCAACCCAAAGCCTAAAAAACAGGTCCAACATAGGAGTTCAAAACAAACAAAACACATAGCTAATACCACAACTTACTAACACATTCTTACTTAATATGGGAGTTCCAGAATCTTACTTAATACCGCAACTAACTAACACGATGGATTTTCAAAGTCCTCCAAGCATTACATGTTAAAATATTATGTCGTCTTCATTGAAACTAGAATGCCATTGAATAACATCATATGTAAGTCACATTGACAGTATTTGCACCGTAGTTTTACCACGTCAAGTGGTGGCACCAGATTCTGCAGTCCACATTTTGTTGGACACAAATAAGGAAACGGCTGTATGATCAAATTGGAGATCTAAATCCTCAACCATTGATATTATCCTACTTCGGCATTCCTTTACTATCATCCAATCTTCCACATCTAACTTCAGATCTGTCAATATATCTACCGCTTTGTTCTTCAAAGCATTTTCGTCGCTATGCAACATCATAACAGCTAGGGCAAATTCACAACCTACGTGTCCAGATAGATATCTACGATGAAGGTAATCGAAGCCCTCTTTACCAATTTCCCGATCAAGAGACAAATTCAAACAAGTTGCAGCTTTAAAAAAGTTTATGCTCAACTTTAATTGTTGGACAGTGTGCGTTGAGCAGTTTTTTATTACTACTAATATATATATATATATGCCTGCATTAGTATATATGTAGCACGAATATGCACGGGACGTACCGTGGATATGACTACTTAATAATATATATTTTTATCATTATATATCTATTAGTAATAGTCAACACGGACGTACCGTGGATATGATTACTTAATAATATATATTTTTATCATTATATATCTATTAGTAATAGTCAACACGGGACGTACCGTGGATATGATTACTTAATAATATATATTTTTATCATTATATATCTATTAGTAATAGTCTTATAAAATTTTAATTCATTTATAATTTTTATAATAAGAGTTACTCTGAAGTGAATTAGAAAATGAAATTAAGTCATTATTGTAATCATTTTTATATCATATATATCATTATTTCACTACTTTGTCATGCTGGTATTCATATTATTTTTAAGATTACTAGGTAGACTTGTCTGAAAAATGTCGACGAAGTGTTCGAAAAGTATCAGTGAAGTGTCCGAAATAATAAAATTAATTTTTATTTATGAACATGTATATGAAGTGTCGCACACGTATTCGAGGAGTGTCGGTGTCCGACACTGGTATGACACAGGTACGGCTCCTTAGGTGTGTATATATATATATATTCTAAAATATATAACCATTTTTCATTTTAAAATATCCCAAAAAAATATGTCTTATTTTAAAATTAGATATATATATATTTTTATAACATTAGCAAACTATTTTTTTAATAAATAAATACATTAATTACTGAATACTATTTATTTTTTTAATAAAAACATATTTGAAATATCACTCTTATCAATATAATAAAAAAATTATTAAAACTACACTATCATAAAAAATTGAATTCTTCAAAAGAACATTTATTTTGGGATATATGGAGTATTTTTTTTTTTTTTTTTTTATGTATACATTAGTAGTATATATATTATTTCATTTGTCCTCAAAATAAGTATACTTTTAATTTAACTTTTTAAGGCAGTAATTTATATTATTATTTTTTATTTGTAGTGAAATTTAACGATATCTAATAGATTAGACACTTATTTTAAGATCGATAAAAATAAAAAGGTAAACACTTATATTTAAAAGTGCTATCTTACTAATTTGGACCATACTTACTTACTCTCTAACAATTAATATTAGTTTATAATTACAAAACAGAATAGGAAAACAATAAATAAGAAAATCAGATAGAATTACTGAACTTATTTCAAAAAATAATCTATTGTCTTTATTTATTACTTTACTAATTTGTATGCATCTATAATTGAATCACACCAGTGATTAGTAGAGATGACATAATCACATTGTTCCATTGATTCATACGGTTATATATTGGTATAAACTTTGACTCTTTCATATTTCACATGTATTAACAGAACTCTTAAATTTTTTTCGTTCATCACCGGCATGGGCGGATGCAGGGGCGAACTTTGAACCCCCCAATAAAACCCAAAAAAAAAAAAAAAAAAACTATTACTATAGCCAATTTTAGTCCATGATGATTCCTGGAAAATGTAGCCTTCGACTCGATGTACAAAATCATCTACTCTCAAGGATCCCAATTAATCAACAACCGTAGAACAACACAAAATCCATCCGCTGTTACAGATTCATCAATGAAAAATTAAATCTTATCCCTTAATAAGGAGGTAGAAGAATAAAAGGGGGAAAAAAATCAAAACTAAAAACTTCAATAAACGTGCCGAGTAATTTGTTTCAACAAACGTGCCGAGTAAAATATTTTTTTTTTTTTCAGATAAAATATTCTCTTATTTTTACTTTGTTAGTATTTAACAAAGGTCTACGTCGAGATCGAATCCATCGGGCATGACAAGTAAAATAATTTACCAAAAATTGATGAATAAGTTATTTTTATTAAATTTTAATATTTTTTTTTCTTCGTAAATATTTTACAACCACCAAACACTAAGTGCTGTAGACACAATAGATAATACAGATTGTTTTCGGGAGAGTCTACAATAAGTAGTGTAGACATGGTAACTCACGGATGGAGATGCATAAAAAAAACTCACAATTTATCTTAATAAATACTAAACAATTAAGAGTTTCTATATTTTTTGACGGATAAGTCTCATTATAGTCTACTTTAAATGAGCTCTCCCTTTAACATCTGCAATAGATCACTCAAATAGCTCTTCGCCGCCTTCTTTACTCCTCTATACTCCTCCACCAGGTCTTATATATGTGCAATGAATATATAAACAAAGTGTATAACCATCAAATCTTTTACCTAATAATTATTAGGTTCATTCATTCAATTTGGGATATCTCGCCACCACTGTCATCTAGTACATGCATCAAAAGGGAATTTCCAACCTCAATGCTGCTGGGAATATAACACATCTGGACCAAAATAAATGAGTTGTTTCACTGTCATTCAAATCATTAGAAAATTCCATCACCCTGCAACTCTCTCGTTAAAGACTTCGATAATAAAACCGAACTTCTTAAACTTCAAGCCTCACTTCATTAAGCCTTAGATTTCTTCCCTTTCACTTCTTTGGCTGGGGGTGTCTGGAAGGGCATGAATGTCTTTCCATGCATAAGAGGTCGCAGTACTTCTGGTATTTCAACACCGTCTTCCCTCTGGTAATTCTCAAGAATGCAGCACATGGTCCTCTCTGTTGCCGTGAGGGTAGAGTTCAACAAGTGTACGTATTGCTTGGCTTGCTCATTGCTCTGCAATTACAGTTGTAAATGGGGGGAAATTTCAGAAATTTGCGAAAAATAACATTCGAAATGCAATACGAGATTTTCTTCAAGCTTCTAAAATGTTATAGCAAGTCTTGGAGAATTATATCATCTATGATTCTCCAATTGATATGACTCAATACTGGTCCTTACTACGTACATGTTTAAATGCATTTGTTCTATCTGCCAAATCGCAAGAAAATATTCAAACTCTTGATTCTTTTGAGAAAGGCTAGTTATAGCAGGAATGTACAACAGATTATGACTTGGTTCATTTGAAGAGAACAAGGATGAAACACCAACCTTTTTCTGCCCATATCGAATCTCCAATCTTCTGGACTGATAGTCTGTACAGTTTGAGCAGGAGACAAGCTCTCTGTAAGTATTTGATGCCGGAAACCATCCTTCCAAATCATATTTCTTTGCTGCCGCATCATTCAAAGCACCCGAAACAATAGACACAACTTGATAGGGAATCTTAAGCTGCAATGGAGAAAATTATTAGATTCCCAACGGAAATAAAGGGCGTCATTATGTAGAGAAGAATCATGACACGATTGGACCATAGTAGGAAAGCCCTGCATTTCTTTTGTGCCAAGTGACAGAATTTAGCATCATCTAGGCAATCAGTTCCCGGAACACTTGCTATACATTATATATATATTTTTTTTAAAAACCCAGCGTCATCATACCCAGAGAGAGCGCAAACAATAGTATCTTAAGAACAAACACAAGGAAGATAGAAAAGACAACAGCATTCTAGAAAGGAATAATTCAAGATGAACTGAAAATTGAAAGCATAAGTTTCATAAGATTCTCAAAGAAGGAAAACCAAATACCATCTTATAGAACTCCTCAGAGTTCTTGATCATTTCCTCATGCATTTCCCAGGAATCATTGCCATTTGGGCTGGTAATGCAGAACTGCTCAACTTTCTCGAACTGATGAACTCTGAAAATTCCAAGAGTGTCTCGACCATGTGAACCAGCTTCTTTACGGAAGCAAGATGAATATCCTGCATATCTAAAAAACCAAACAACCATTATTGTATGCGTATGCCAGGGGAAAAACTCCACGGTTTTGTAGCCACAACTACAACTATAGTTCACAAAGATTGTAATAACCTTAAAGGTAGCTGTGAAGGATGGATCCAATCATCTATATGATACGCACAGAGTGGCTGTTCAGCTGTAGCAATCAGATATTTGTCTTCTCCCTCCCCAGTTACCTATTGAATAACAATGAGATCAGGTATGCTCAAATTGCAGCAGGATAGAACTCTATGAAAAATATTATCAAGTAAGCATGTTTCCATCTTCATTTTGATTTTTGAGGAAGGTAAACCAAAGTTATTATGCATACCAGCATTTAACAAACAAAAAGTATATGCTTACTAGATAATATATCATTTACAAAAACATATTAGCAAAATAAATTAAATATGATGCAATAAATAGTATATGTAGGATAAATAATGTGCTTGGTGACATAGTTACTGGCAAAATTAACAAAATTTGACATTTCTGTTTCCTTATGCAAAGAGTACAGACTTGGTGCATGTGGAGATGGTATGCCTGCATCTGCATTAAATAAAGTGGACTCCTGGACCAGCTTCTACACAGAAAGATATGGATGATAATGGCTTAGAAGCAGCTAGAGAAGGTTTTGGACATGGATGGTAGCGGTACTGTTAGCAAAAGAGGAGATCATCTGGCTTTTCATTGTTCCTCCCATTGGAAAAATGGGGACATGATGGTTGAGAAAGATGAAATAGAGGCACATCAGAACTTACTACGAGGAAACTCAAGACCAAGGATTCAATGCGTATCAGGTTTGGAATCATTTATATTGTTGAGTCATGGATCAAGAACAAGGCAGTCACAGATTTACTATGGACAAATTAACAGTATGAGGTGTCGCTGATTCAAGTCAAATGTGTGAAGTGTGACGGGCCAGAACCGTCGGACTTAAAAATCAACCATCTCTGCGCCTCTTGCACTACTTCAGTTGCAACTTGGAAAAGAAACCCTGGTCATGTGACTTGCAAAACAGGAGACCAACTTAGGATCAGGAACTAGAGTTGGCAGTGCAAAATCTGGAAGGAAAGTCCTCTTAGTGCAGATTATATAACTAGCACTTGCTGCCTCTTCGTTTCACACAATAGAAAGAGAGAAACTTTACAATATTTCAGAATTTGTCAATATGAGAGGAGCATGTCCCATTAGAGATCCAAAACGTAGAGCTAGCTAAAGTAATGAAATGGAGGGTGATATAAAAAATAAAAAAATAAAAAAAAAACCTTCTATGGAAGTTGGAAGCTTTTACAGCTGGGGGAATTCCTAGATCTATTTTTTAAACCCAAACAGGTGCTGCAACTGTATTCTCCGTCACAAGGTGTTGCTACCTTTGTACATGGGATTTCCTCCCTTTAATATTTTATATTCATTTATGTTCCCAAAAAAAATTGAATTTACTGAATCATGAAAGATCTTGGAGTGCCAACCACATATAGTATCCAACAGATTCATTACAGTACCACTCATACTAAAAAATATTTATAGTGCTTGGACTTGCATATAGACCTGTAAAAGAATCGGATATGGACCGGATCATGGTCGATCAGATCCGAATCCGATAAGCATAATAGGTAATCCGATACGATCTGATAATCTGACGGGTTTTCATTTATTGAATCCATATCCCAAAACACACTTTATCGGCAGTCCGATCCGATTAAATTAAACACTGACTGCAGCACAAATCAAGCAACTGGGGCAAAAATTATCTCCTCTACAACTCATCGAAACTAAAAACCAAATCTCAACCAGCTTACTGAAAATATGTTTAGTATTTTTCAGTTACAGAAAGAACAAAAAGGATCATTTTTAAAATAAAAATAAAAAAAAAAAATCAGTGAGAGAGAATCACCACAAACAGAGAACTTATCAACAACAAAAAAATCACCACAAACAGAGAAAAAGAGAAACGAGAGAGGGGAAAGTACAAGATGAGAAAAAATCTGGAATAACTTTGTTGTGAAAGACTAAAAATTAAGGCATCAAAAATTAGGGCTTATGATGGAAAAGAAGAAAAGGATAAGAGAGAGAAAAGGGGAGAGAATACACGTATAAATACTCACTATGTGAGGGTTACGGGGAGAGTTTCAATGGTCAATGGAGGAGCTCTCATCCCCTTCATCGTTTTCTCAGGCCTGAAAGTGATGCGAGTTTCTGGAACACTCATTTTGTTGCTGTTGTTGTTGTTTTTTTTTTTTTTTTCCTAGTTGCATTTTGTTGCTGTATTGAAGCAAGTGAATAAGTGATAACCCTGATATGTATTAGGGTGTTATTATCATGTAGGTGAGAGCACCATAGTTCTATACAAACAAAATTATGATTGATCAATCTAAATAAATCTAATGGTAGATAAATGATAATATATAAAATATATATACATATATATAATAATATATAATTTTATCGGATCGGATCGGATTATTAACAGATCGGATTGCCCCTAATCCAAATCCTATTTGTTAAGTTAGCGGGTTATCAGATTCGGATCAATGTCAGGTTATCGGATTTATTACTCAGCCCATATTCAAATTATCGGATAGGATTCGGATCAAAATCTGATCCATTGACAGATCTACTTGCATGATCATACTTGGAAATTCCAAAAAAAAAATTAAAATTTTTTTTGACAAAGGCATTAAAGTTAAAAAAATCTTACCTTGTAAAGTTCTTCATCAAATTGTGCTAATTGGGCACACTTTGCCATGATATCTTTTCTCATAAAGAAAGGAGTCTGCAATGCGGTATACCCCCTATTGGCTAAAAAGCCAAGCCCGAAATTAATCAGAGCTTGATTAAGAAGTACACCATCTCCTTTCAGATAGTAACCTCTACCTCCGGCTATATTAGCACCTAAATGTTTCAAGAAGATTTGCATTAGTGATTAAAGGGATAACACATACAATGGTCAACTGAAAAAAATGCATTTGTGAGAATCTTAAGGAAGCAACAAGTGTAAAAATTCAGGTGTGATGATTTGGTCTGCCAGAGAAATGATGGCTGAACTAATAAGTTGCATGAAATGGTTCGTGTGGAAGGATTTACAAAAGACAAGGTGCCAGAAAGGGCACAGGATGAGTTTTGGTGGTTAAACATGGTCTATCATTTTGCAGTAGACAATCCTAATATGAAATGATGGTAAATACAGATTTTAGTAACTGACACCTCAAATTAAGTTTTGTCAAGTTGAACTGAGAGTAAGATAATCAATAGGAGAATTTGACAACTTGACCCAATGCAGGAAATTCTCTGCAATATATTCCAAGCAAACTCACTCATACTGGCAATGAACAAACAGATTCTGTATTCTAGCTATTTCAATTATATTGATGGAAAAACACATATCACATTTATAATGAAAATGATTAACAGACTCAACCAACAGGCATTAAACTTTAGTCATATACCTCCATTAATTAATTGCTTTGGGGCAACCCAGATTACCAAGTTAGAGAAAAACTGAATAACCACACAAATAATAGATATTCCAGACAACGAATTCGAACCTTCACCGTGAAGCTTTCAAAAGAAAAATAATCCAAACCTCAGTAAAATTCACTGAATTGCAGTAAATTTAGAGCAAGTTGGCTGAATGAAAATTATTCAGAGTTCTAAATCACTGCATTTAGAGCACAAAATATTCAATAGATAATGAAATCAGAAGTATATGACAAAAGGATGATATAAACACTGTTGCCTCAACAAGCAGTTCATAGTAATACCACTACATCATAATTATTTCCACTTTATCAAAGAACCAATGTAATACCTTTCTTTATATCTGCTATTCCAAGAAGTTCAACAAGCTCAACATGATTTTTCAGCTTTGGCTCCGACCGCTTATCACCCCAAGATCGAACTATAGCATTGTTTGCCTACAAAATTATGATGAAATTTAGAGAAAGAAATTGATCCAGAAATTGCATAATATCTACAAATCATACACACCTCATCGTTGCTTACTGGAACCGAGTCATGCACAAGGTTTCCAATTATTTCCAATTTTGAATACAACGCTGCTCGAGCCTCCTGAACTTCTGTTTCTTTGTTCGCCGACAATTGTTTGTTCTCCTCTGAGCTTTTAATCTTTTCACTTGCATCCTCACCAGCCTATTAACATTGAAAAGAAAAACCAGAAAACCCTCAAAAATCCAACCAAAAAAAAAAAAAAAGGCCTTTTTTTTTTTAAAGAAAAAGATCATCCTGAACTCTTCTATATTCAGTTCTAAAAAGCATAACACTCAAACCTAATGAATTAAACTTGACAAAAACACCTATCTACTCTTATGAATTATAAAGCAATCATCAAGAGCCTCTCTAAGCTCCACACTTAATCAAGCAATAACAGTTTCATGTTCATACAGTCTAGCTTTTATCATGTCATACACAAGCATAAGAATGCCGATAACTTCTATGTATAAGTTTGAGTGAACTATGCAGTTCAGAACTAAACACTCGTGAAACAACATAAAAATGCATACCCAGTTAATTATAAGTCAAGCCATAACCTAATGATTCAATATATTGGTCCTGCTAAATTGTTCACGGGACATCAGGGTTGCCCCGGAGCAATCAATCTATTCAATAAATAAAAACAAGAGATACAAAAGATTTCTGTTTTTGAGCCAATAAATTGCTTAGAAACAGGTTTTAGAATAAACAAAGGCCGATAATCTTGTATACCAATGCAACTAATAAATCAACAGAAACACTCACAATTTTTAGCTTCCCCACTTCTTTAGCTATCTTGTTCAAATCTTTCCGCAGATTGTCCAGCTCAAATTGACCTAAATTTCCAAATAAAGATGTATCAAATTATCTCCAAGAACACCAAACATATTACATATGCATATGCATATAAAAAACTAAGAAAACATACATCTACATATGAAAAATCTAGAGATATAACTAATAAAAAATTGGCGGAGATGGAGACTTACGCTTTCGCCATTGTTCGTCTAAACGAATGACCTCATCGACTAGATCGACGTCTGCAAATCGGCGGCGTTGAGATTCGCGTATAATTTCAGGATTTTGGCCCTTGTCTACCCTGAAGAGATTTATGTCCAACATTTTCTCTCTCTACAGCAACAACAACAAATTCACGCAGCTTAGAGAGACAGAATCAGTCCATATATATTCCTGTGTAAAAAAATATATATATATATATATATATATATATATATTCATGTGCGCATACACATACATATAATATAGAGAGAGTACCGGAATATAGAAGACGAGAGGGCGGACGGTCGATGATCTGATGAGGAGTTGAAGTGGCGGCTGTGTGGCGTTGGAGTGAAGAAGTGAAAACACGGGAGAAAATGCTACTTAGGGCTTTTAGGCCAACAATTTCTCTCGAATACTTCATAAGTATTTATTTAATATGATAATATGACACAGAAAAGTAAGGCCCAAAGCATGGAAGAATCTGAAATAGAAAACCTCTTTTATTCGTGGAATTTTACACTCCGCTATCACTTTCTTTTGGTAATGGACACAAAAGCACAAAAATGAGTGCTTTGTTTTTTTTTTTTTCAGGCGCAATGAGTTGGGTGTTTTGTGGTACAATTAAAACTTAAGCTATTAAGAGATATAAAAACCCAATTAATATACACCATTTACTTTTCGGGAGATAAGACTCTCTTCCAACACTATCCTTTATTCGAGCTCAAAATATTCTTATTCCAGTCGGGTCACGCGCTTAATATGGTACCGAATTAAGGATTAGTGTGACTCTAATACCAACTGAAATGGGTCGGTACTTCACCATCTAATCCAAAGACTTAAGTTATTAGATGTTCTAACACTCAACTAGGGATGGCAATTTGACCCACCTCGCCCCGTCTCGTTTTTGGCAGTTTTGGGGGATCATTTAGCTAATTTGGGCGGGGATAATTTGATGTAATAAAAATCCAACATAAATTTAGTGCGGATGCGAGGGGAGGTCGCCCCGTCCCGTTTAGATAGATAAATTAGTTAAATACCCTTATTTCATTAATATATATATTTTCCGGTATATATGTTAAGCTCCCTATATAACAATATTAGAGTAATAAATGAATTTGATTAAAAGAAAAGTTGTAATGGTGAAGAACTAAAGATGAAAAAAAAAATAGCAAATCTATTTTAACAATAAATAAATTATATATGGTCTTTTACGGGACGGGGCGGGACGGGTACCCGCGGATGTAAAAATACAAAACAGTTGCGGGAATGGATGGAAAGTTTCCTCTTTTTTGCAGTTTTGGGCAGGAACAGGGACAAAATTTTTAAGCGGTTGCGGGAGAGGGTACACCCGTCCAAACCCACCCCCATTCTCATCCCTACACCCAACCCATATATACTCATTTCACTTCCCCATCAAATTCAATATAGGACAACACAAGTGAGTGCATTCTTTAACCCACCCGAGCCTTAAATCCTTAACATTTTAATTTGTTTTTTTTTGGACACCTGTAATCATGGGACTCTTTGGCTTCATTTCATTATATAGAAATTAACATTAAAATGTGAAAATAAAAGAGGAGTAAAGTGAATGAAAAATAAAAATTTTATAGTATATTTGATTGGCAAGATTTATTTTTTTAAAATAAATATAAAAAAAATTTACAACTGCATGATTTGAATAGCATTAAACTTGCATTTCATAATTTTATGGAACTTTGGAAGATTTTGTCTACTTTGATATCATTTGTTGCGATTTAAGTCAAAAGTTTAATTTTAGAGTTAAGTGTAAAAAAAAAATAAAAAAAAATAAAAAAAAAAAAAAAAAAAAAAAAAACTATAATATAGGTTATGTGTACAATTAGTTCCTCATTTTTTAAAATGTGCATTTCAGCCCATAATGTTTAAAAAATGTGCAAATAAGTCCCTTTGGTCACTTTTTGGTAAAAAAAATAAATCTGAAAATCTGATTTTACCCTTTTTGTTCCTATTTTGCCCCTATCTTCTTCTCTTTTCCTTTTATCTCCTCTCCGCCAACTAGCCACCTCCTCCCACCACCATTACAGGTCACGTCCTCCCACCACCACTCCTCAGTTCCACTGTCCTCTAAGCTCACCACGCCGTCATGGAGCTCGTCGCCATCACCACCGCTTCGAACCACCGTCTGTAGCAACGATTATGATCCTTGTTCGTCGCCGATCACTCCTTCATCACCGTTCAGTCACATTGGCATTATCTTACTCGATTATGATCCTTGTTCACCGCCGACATCATCTGACTCACACTTCACGCGTCAGACGCTCCTGCAAGTAGATCTAACTCGCCCTTCACGCATTACTGCTTCAGTGACTTTTTCCGATATGTTCTTTCTCGGCTTTATCTCCGAGGGCCCCACCTACTCCGTCGCCGTCACCTATAGCGACATCCCCATCTGGAAGGCGGTGGCATTGACACTGAACTCCCCCGCCTCTCTCCAATTCCGCTATGATGACAACCTCTGCCTCGTCAACGGCTTCGGCGCCCTCGTCTGGAAGTCCAGCACTGCCGGCATTTCCTACACCTCCAGATCTGGACTGTTTGTTTTGTTATAAATTTATGCGGAAAGAGATGAAACCCAGATTGAGAATTCTATATTTTTATTGTTTATTTCTTTATTGAGATTTTAAACCATGTGAAAAACAGAGACCCTAATCAGAAAAGCCCAAAACGAGCAAAACTCATGATTTTGTTTTTTTTTTTCTATTAAAGATCATTGATGGAGGTTTGCTACCTTTGGATTTCTTGAACAATAGCTTCAGGGTTGGGGTGTGGATGGTGGAGGAGGGTGAGCTAATGGGTGGCTCTGATAAGAGGAGACCATCGACAGCGATGTCAGAATCGGAACGGCGTTGGCGCGTCGTCAGATCTAGGTGTCGTATGAGGGGGGGAAGTGGGGGAGGTGGAACTTGGTGGTGGTGAAGAAAATTGCGGGGTGGAAGAGGCGCAGGGTCTATATTCCCAAAATAGTAATTAGGATTTGGGAATTGTCTAAAATAATAATTTTACCTTACATTATTTTTTTAATATTATTTTATTTTACTTGTAAGATGATATTTTAGCATTTTTACGTGAATATTTGCACCAAATTGATAATATAGAGAGTTTTATATCACACAAAAACTTTTTTTGCACTATATCTATAATATATGATCGTTTTTTACACTTAACCCCTTAATTTTATATGAACATTTGTGATTTGACTCAAAAGTTTAAGGCTCCGTTTGGATATATACGAGACAAAAAAAAAAACAAAATAAATAAAAAAATAGCAACAGTTTTGAGAGAAAATAAAGGAAAGGAAATTATAACAATGATTTATATTTAAGTTTGAATAGTTAGGAGATAAAATAAAAGAAATAATAATATTTTTATTTAAATAAAATAGGGGAGAGAATTATTATACCTTTTAAATTAGATTGAATAAGAGTGAAATAACAATTTTCTCCTTCTAATTATTGAGGGCAATTTTAAAATTATAAAAATATTACTCAACCCACTATTTTTTTTCCTTCCTATCTTGGCAATTTTTGAGTGACAACATTTGAGTAATAAGAAAGGATAGATATCCTTCCAAGTATCTTTTCATTTTTTTGAGGAATAGTTATCCATATCATTCATTTCCTCTCCACTAAAGTCATTCAAACATTTTATTTTATTTTACTTTATTTTTTTTTTAAAAATCATCACATCCAAACGAAACCAAAGTTTTTAGGCCATCTACAGCGGGCTTGGGGAAGCCCTTTTCCCCAAGCCGAATGGCCCATGGTCACTCCATCAGCCTAGAGGTATTGGCGGGGGCCCACATCAGCTGGCGGGTTGGTTCTTGGAATCGCGCGAGGCCAAGCCTAATCGGGGTAAATTTTTTTTGTTTTTGCCTTTACCAAAAGGACGATGTTTTGCGTGAAGTTTTTTTTTTTTTTTTTTTTTTTTTTTAAACAGTCAGGAACAGTGGGCAACATGGTTTTTTTTTTTTTGGAAAAATCCAAAAATAGGTTATTTTGAGCTCATTTTTTTTTAAAAAAAATAAAAATAAAATAAAATTCATTAAAAAAAATATATATTGTTTAGGTACTATTTGGCCAAAAAGAAAAAAATATTTGATTTGAGCCAAAAATAAATTTTAAAAAATATATTGCTTTAAATATTAAATTTCTGGCACAAACAATACATTTGGCCGTTAAGACACTGTTTGGCTGATACAAACAATGTTTTAACGGCTATATATATATATATATTTTTTTTTATGGAGTGCATGTTTTTAGAGAGCGAAAATTCGGAGAGCTTGGTGGAGTGCATTTTTTGAGAGTCAAAATTCGGAGAGACTGGTGCAGATGGCCTTGCCCTTTATAAGTCACAATCTGTTTCGGATTTGATGTGAAATAAGAATTCACGACAAAATTACAAATTTATCCTTTTATAATATTTGGTTAACGGGTCCGTATGCCCAAAAATAGAAAATACTAAAGTGTGTGATTAAGTACAAAAGGCCAAATCTAAAGGAGATATTAAAGTAATAAACATTGAGTAGTCTATTCACAAGTAATTTGTCCAAATTTAAAAAAAGATAAGTGTAATTTATGCTATTACTTATTAGCAATGTCAATTTAATGACATAAATTACATATATATTTATTTGGGAAAAAAGAGAGTCACGGAATGAGTTGGAGCTCACTGCTTAAATGGCATGACAAAATATATTGTCTTGACATTTATAAGGGGAGAGACAAAGAAAAAACAAAAAAAAAAAAAAGAAGAAGGTCGAAAGAGAAAAAATCAGAATATGCACGAGTGACATGAAATTAAGGGACTACGCACCTGTTAAGGCCCATAGGAGATGGAAAATAAAAAATAAAAAATAAAAAAAAGTTAGGGCAAGTTTCAGACGACACAATCTGCTTCGACACTCCGCAGGGGGCAGCCTCCGCTATCTCCTCAGGTGACAAGGTATGTTCATCCTCTCTCTCCTTTTGCATGGATCGATCTTTTATATATGTTTCTTTCTTTCGTTCATCTCATCATTTGATTTGTTCTAACTTTGGTTCCTTTGATTCGGGCCTTTACACTTGATGGTGCAGAGAGTCTGGATGCTGGAAATCAACCTTGTGAATTAGCCAACAGAAAATGGAAAATAGTTAGCGGGTGCCGTGTTTGTGATATTGCTGTTCACAGGGAACATCGCATAAAGCATGGATCTTTGAATGGTTATTTACCTTTGCATGGTGGCTATAACCCAAAAGAAGTAATCAAGACTTGTGCCTACTGCCGCTCATTTTTCCAATACGATTATGGAAATGCTCCTAAATGGTAGCATGGTTTTTGCACATCTGACTCAATTCAGGCCCGTTTTCTATTAAAGACCCCCGCGCCCAATCGATTGCAACCATTTGGAACCCTCGCAAATCTTTCTTTGATTCTAGTGATAGAAATCTCTTCTTCT